TTTGGTTTATACAAATGAGTACCTAAGAGTAGCTTTATACTAACATTTCTTACTAAATAAAACACGGCGAGCAGTTACGCTTGCAAACGAACGCCAGTGTTCAAACCGCTGAAGCAGGTGGCCCTCGAGTCAAAGGCATCGAAGCCTGTTTCATCTGTGGTCCGAGGCGAAGATTATCTCGGTGTGGTAAACAACACAACGCGACTTGGTAAATAACTACGACATTCCACCTCTCTAAGCTTTCAAGGACTTGACAGCTCGCACGGGCAGCTTTGTTTCCACAGAATGGCGCACCCAATTTCTCGCGTGCAAAGCCTTTCGAGCCTGGTCATTGTGTCCCTCTATCCGGTAGAAGACTTAAGTGACCTCCTTTTTCCAAAGATCGCTTTATCTCTTTCCTGGCTGCAACAAGAACCCTTTTCGCTCTCTCCAGGCCGGAAACTAGCTCTGCATTTCTTTTTTTACTTTGCGAGGGGTGCTTTTGGTTGAGAAAGCACGCTTCTAAAGGATCTTCCCCGAAATCGGTTCTTGTTTAGCGAAAAGAACCCTTTTTTGCTCATTTGGCTCCTTTTTTTCTGAGAGTGATGTGTCTCGCGCTTTACTCTGATTGTTGGGTTGTTCGCAGGGATTGTCAGCATCCGTGTTTTTCTTGAAAGCGAGCACACAAAGTTAAGAAGAAAGTGTAATGGGCAGTATAGGAGGGGGTCATCGCTGTTTTCAATCCCCGTGAAGTCTGATTGACATAATTGTGTCGGTTGCATTCGCAGCAACCTCAATGACCGCAAAGACAAAAGAACCTGGTCAAGTGTTCGCCGTACACAAGGTGGAAAGCGATACAAGAGGTGGCAAGCGAAGCAATCAAGACCCAAATTTGTCCCGGTGTGCTGATCGTTTCTGTCGTTTTGCTTGTCGTTAACGCAACGGTTGCAAATAAGTAAACCAGCCTTATCCTCTGGATGAGCGTCTTGCGCTTGTGTAATCTTTGTAGCGTGATGAACGTCAAAGACGCCAGGCTAGCATTCGTACTGCATCAGCGATTAACATCCCCCCTCCACACGCACACACTCCCTAACGCATAGCGTAATCCTAGGCTGCCCCCCCCCCCCCCCCTCCAAAATTCGCACAAGGCATAGTAACTTGTAGTACAAACATGCCAACCGCCCTTCCCTACTATCCGAGCCTCTCAAAAAGTTTTTAACCCTCTTCCCTGATTTATAATCCTGGATTAACCGCTGGTGATGCACTGGCTGATGTTCTTACCACTGCAGAGTCCCACACGGCCTTGTCAAGCTAATAAAGTACCCAGAAAGATTTCAGCATTTTTTCTTTGAATTTGTATGAACAGGTATACGTGTTCATACAAATTCAAAGCGTCGTTACGGGCCTCGTGCATGTCGGCCACCAAGGTCCACTGGTTTTCTGCCAGGTCATGGCGCTCGGTGGTGGCCGTGCGGCGCTCCCCGTCTTATCGCCCATGGGGTTACAGGGAGTCGTGTAGCACAGCCACGCTCACGTAGCAGCAGGCGTAGTGCATGCACGATTTGGCGCTCCAGTTGTTCTCCTGCGGCTCAATGTAGACGACCGAGTGGAAGCACTCGGTGCCGTCGAAGCCACCAACTATGTAGATGAGGCCGTCCACCATCGCCACGCCGTGGCAAGCCTTGTGACACAGCGGCCTGTGGATTTCTCGGACAATTATCAATTGCAAATTTCACTACCGCTCAACGAGTCACACAAACGTATTTCCATAAGAACCGCTGGTAAAAACCACGGCTGAGGAAAAGTTGTTTCTTCGTGCATGCCTCCGCCAACTTCGACGGAAAGAACCGCGAGAAGAGAGCTCGTTGTCTCTTCGGCAGTGGCACGTAACGTGACAATTCTGCAAACGAAAAAAAAAAGTATTCATGAAACCAACGTGGTATATTTTATACGTTTCACTTGAAACAACAGAGAAAATCTCTGCACAAAGAAGTATGTCAAGACGCAGATATATTTACTCGTGCCGTCATGGCGCCAGTATAACATTCTGCATGTTTGCGCGCCTTACGGCGTTTTCCCCGTTGCGAGAAAGGACGTAGAACGACGTTTTCTAGGAGGGCATGCGCCCTTTCAGTGCCTATCGAGAAAAAATGCTAAGTCACTGGAATGTGGAAGCGTGCAAGTGATTTGGAATGCATCCACATCTTTGTTATACGGAGAAGAAAGGTACCACATATACTCGAAACGCCTTCCACAACCCAGACGACAAAGATTATAATCCACAGAAGGCGATTATTGTAATGGTCTATAGACGGATAGTTACATACATCTGCCTCAGTGGGGGAGGTTGAGGAACGTATGCCTGCTCGCATACTTCTCTGAAGTGTCCTTGGAGACCCAATCACTGATAAATCATACTTTGGAATTAAAAACAGCGCGAAAAGACGAGCACCAGACAAAGAAGTGACACGGACGCAGCGCTGTGGATGTGTTACTTCTCTGTCTGGTCCTCGTCTTTTCGCGCTGTTTTTAATTCCGAAGTATGTACCAACTCGCACAAGCCTCAACTTTAAATAAATCATAACTTCCCGGTCAAAAAAAAAAAAAGAACAAATTTATGTACTAATGGTTTGCAAAATATACGAACTTATATTTTATATCAGGAGTGTGTAAGCTGTATATTAGTTCTGATGTGATCTGATGTACTATCGCGGTCAATATGAGCTGAAACAGCACTCCAGCCGGCACACGGTATTACCTGCGCCGCCTGTCGCCTTGCTCCGCACACACGGCGCACCCTGAGGCCGAGCTAAATTAACAGTTGCGCTCGCTGCGCCACTGCGCTCTTCCGTCCGCCTGCTAGCGAGACGGCGTGTGCGACAGCGCGCGTGTGCGTGGTGGGGTGGCAGAGAGGGGGAGATTACAGTAGTCGTCCCTTTTTTGCAATTGATTTACTTCACTCTATCGCGCAGAATCACGTAGAAAAACCGCTGACTAATGAAGAAAAAATGTTGAGATATCTTAAGTTGCAGCTGCGATTATCGTTTTTGAAAGTCACATCCAAGACGTTGCAGGTTGCTTCAAACAAAACAAGTTGCTGACAAGACACCGGTGTTTTATTTACAAATTCCTAGTTCTAGTAAAGTGTGACAAGCAGTCATATATTTGCCAGGAGAAGGAACTTTAAACAGCATCGAGAGAATATTCGCAGAGGACCAATGTCAGACACAAAAGTAAAAGTGGGCGTGGAAGTTTAACTGCACTATGCAAGAAGATTAGGATGACAGATGCACCACACAAAAGTATGCGCTGGTTAACGGCGTCAAACAGTGTGTCGCAACCGTAGCAGCAAGCTTTGTTCCAATTGGCAGAAGTCCAGTTGAAGGGGTCCTGAGGCGCAGTAAAACATACAAAAGAAGTTAATACCACGTCATTCTCCCCTGACACGCGACCACGCCTCTCATCCTCTCTGCAGTGGTAAGGTATCACAGAGCGCGGCCACGAAGTCTGGCTCGGCCCGAAGCCTCTGCCATTCACGTCTCACCGCGTCCCACAATTCGTCGGCAGTGGCGCGGGGAAGGGGACGCAGTGACATTGTTGCCTTGATGCGCCTCCAAACGTCTTCGATGATATTCACATCGGCACCTTTTGGGGGCCAAGGCAGCTCCGCCAGGCAGCGGTCCTCGTGGAGATACGAGCGTGACACCCCTTTTTCTACTTCGGCTCTCTTTTGAAAAGCACTGAAATGCTGTCATCGTACAGGCCTATCTCCTTGAAAAGTTGCGTCGGTAAACTCCTTGAACGCCTCGTTCTTCGCCGTCTCACGTGGCAACCTGGCACCAACAAGACACTTCCTGACCAACTGTCTGGTTTCAGGACACATCGCTCTACGGTCGACGCCATAGGAGAAGTAGCAACATCTTTCGAAGAAGCGCGGGCTGCTGGGAAAACGATGTACTGTGCCTTCTTGGACATCCACAAGGCTTTCGACGCTCTACCTCATGCCACCATCCTCCACCAACTCACTCTCTTCGGCATCGCAGGTAGAGCCTACGCTTACATCCGTGCATTTCTTCAAAACAGGACCCTTATTGTAAACGTCCGGGGAACAACAAGTGCCCCAAGATATCTGACCCAAGGAGTACCGCAGGGAAGCGCGATAAGCCCTTTTCGTTTCAATTTGGCAATGGCGTCACTACTTGCTGTGCTTCCGCCAATGACATATCCACTTACGCCACGGACAAGCATCGCCTTTTATGCGGATGACGTCGCAATTTGGACGGTCGGGTTAAGCAACCAGGCACACATGACTGGGCAAATTCTTCAGTTTGCTCTGGATAAAACAGCAAAGGAAATTTCTCGTCTGGGACTGACATTATCTGCTTCAAAGACCGCTCTCCACTACACCAACAGGAGCAGGGGACAGACCGTCAAAATTACACTCGACGGCGTAGAAATCGCAAGGAGTAGGTCCCACCTCTACCTGGGCCTTTTAATCGATGACCTCGCGACATGGCGGCTGGCAGTGAAAAGACTCTTAGGACAGTGTCGACAGCTCCTGGGCGTCCTCCGGAGTTTCCGTGCATACGGCCAGAGAGGTATCCCACCGGATGGTTTGCTGACACTCTACAAAGATCTTCTCCAATCGAAGCTCCTATGCGCACTACCATTCGTCTATATCAGGCGACCCCAGCTAGACGCTCTCGAACGTTTTCACCGTGTCGCTTTACGACTCTGTTTGGGACTTCCCCCATACGCGAAAAACGTGGCAACGCTCACGGAGGCACAAGAAGAGCCAATCATCCTACGAGAGGAAAGAGTGGCAATGCATTCCCTAGGGCGAATGCACACGACCCGGTCGGCACAGTACATTCTTGCCAACCTGCTGAAACGACCATCGTCGCATCTTGGTCAACTAGCTGCACAATTTCGGCGTAACACCGGAAGCTTTGGAGTTTTATATTCTTCACGTCCCCCACACTCCATACGCCCACCGCTAGACGTGCGTGAAACACTTCCAGAGCTGCCTCGGAAAAAAGATATTCACCCAACTGTCGCCCGCACAGCTGTCGCAGTGGCTCTCGAAAATGAATACGTTGAACATCTTGAGGTCTACACAGACGGCTCAGTTGACAAGAAGAGAGGAACTGCAACCGCGGCATACACGATCCCCGCAATATCAACTGAAAGTGCGGTTCTCTTAAACATCGAGACGTCCTCTACAACAGCGGAGATGGTTGTGATTCTTCTGGCACTTACGGCACTGCAGGAACGTCCTGAAATCGGTAAGGCTGTGATACTAACCGATTCTCGAAGTGCGCTAGTTCACATCGCCAACCCCGAGCACGCTCCCTTGATCGCCCAGGAGGCTGCACACATAGCAACAAAGCTATAGGACAACGGTTGGAGACTGGTATTTCAGTGGGTGCCATCCCACAGCGGAATTCTTGGAAATGAACGTGCAGATACCCTGGCAACAAGGGCACACAGCATCTGGACTACCAGGCACAATCTGCGACGCCTTCACGAGGCGCGCCTTCTCATCGCACGCGACCTCAGGAAAAGACACCCCGATCCCGGAACAGCCAATGGAGAAGGTCCTGTACCAGTCCCAACCTCTAAACTGACGCGGAAAGACGCAACGCTTTTGCATCATCTCCGAACTAATAGCGCGTTCACGAGGAAGACATTGCATCGCTTTGGAAGGACGTCTCAGAGAAGCAGTGCTGACTGCACAGCGTGGGGGGACGTTGAAGACATCGATCACATACTATGGCACTGCCCGGAATACGAGAAAGCACGGAAAACATTACTAGCTTCGGTAAGAACGACAGGGACACAGGTGTCCACAACAGAGGAACTGCTATTTCCTAGTGGTGGCAAGCGACGGGCGCGGGTCATATTCCGTGCAGTGCTCGAGTTTGCGCATGTGACTGAGATTTCAGACCGCCTCTAACTGCCGTGCGCAATTCGGAAACCGGTAAAGATCTTGTCACACGTTTGCGACATGACAATGATGCAAAACTCCAGTGAACAAAACTGTGTTCTGGCAGAACTGCGGAACTGCGGCTGTGAAACACAAGTCCCGCCGCTGCTTAGCGGCGGCGCGACATGTTACACAGGTTCAGCTCGTCACCGCTCCGGGGCGACGAGCTGTACTTGTGCAATTGACCGAATGTTGGGAGCGATTGAGCGACTGTTGGCACTTGCGCGTTTCATCGAACGTTTACTTTGAACCATGTTTTAGCCGTGTGTTAGCAACGCTTTGCCCCTCCCCCCCCCCCTCCCTCTACCCTACAAATGATTTGATTGGCGCTTTCCCCTAGTAACTGCTAAAATATTTTATTCAAGCCATCTAAATCCACATCTTTCCCTCCCTCTCCCCTTTGGCTATGCGAGTCTTTTCCCTGCCTGGAGAATGACATTTCGCATAGCCATTAAACCCCCTTTCCCGTTTTATACACCACATCCCCCCTTCCCCCCCCCCCCCCGAGCGCAAGTGAGAATTTATCTCGGCCTCAGAGTGCGCTGTGTTTGCGGGGCAATGCGACAGGCGGCGCAGATAGTACCGTGCGCAGGCCGGAGCGCTGTTTCAGCTTATATTATCCGCGATAGTACTCATATATTTACGGGACACATCTATATAATATTTTCACTAGGTTAGCCAATAAGGTATCCGTTTTGTATCGCGTTCTTATGGTCACGAGGTCTCAGTGGAAATGATGCATCTGCTTGTCGAGAGAATTGCGGGATTTCTTTTTTCCTTCACTGACTAATGGTGATATCCATTCGTCATCCTGGAGCAGTGGCCTAACTCCACTGGATTTTCGCGCAGCAGATCGGACTCCGAATCCACCAAGAGAAGATGTGTTCTCCTCCGAGAGCCGTCGGAGGAGAGATGAATGCCTCTTTTTAGAAAAGCACATGCTTTCACAGCTTGTGCTAGAGAAAAACAACTGTGCAAGCAGATGTATTAAAAAAATGAACTGCGTAAGATGATGGAATGCCAGCAGAAACGCCGCCGGTCCCATTTTTGTATGCCCAAAGGAATAAAACGACGGCCGTCGTGCAGATAAAAAATACTTCTATACCTCACAGGTCGGAAATTCAAGAGACCACAAAACAGGCAAAGAAAGAAAATAGACAGTGTAGACTAATATTTCTTATCCCGATCAGAGCAAGATGGCAGTTTTTATCCAATCCCAGGTCGGTCTTATATTATTGTGGACGGAACATTTGTAAGTTCAGTCGGGGGTAATCACTTCTATAGTATAAATAGGTTTTGTGAAAACAAACTCTGTAATAAGCTGGCAAAGACAGCAAACGCCATAAAAACATAAACGACTTTGTCTTTCTTGGTTCGGCCTAGATGCTTTACCTGCGAGCGGGCTAACCTAATAATATAAGAGTGCAAAAAAAAATACTTCTCGTGTTTTTTTTTTGCAATGAACTTCACTGTCGCATGCCGTCCTGTAGTGATCCTTGCACTTTGCTAGACGCGGGCACTTTATATAGAAACGACACCATACGATGTAATGTAAATAAAATGAACATGGCGAATTATTTCCGCAGTGTGGGTCCCGTCATGATAAACGAGGTAGGAAGTAACGTGCGGGATGCCAGTTGGGTTCCGGACAAATCCGCTGATTTCGGTGGAACATATTTATATGGAATCCGTGGCCGATCTGAAGGCGGCGCTACTCCACAACGACGAATGGAAGTCATACATGTTGGTTTCGATCACCCAATAGGTGACCAGCGTTTGGCAGAAGCCGCCAAGCAGTAGGGGTATCCTCACATCCAGTTCGAAGCTAGCAGCCGACGCAGCACCATGGCTGCTATTGAATCGTGTGTGGGTGTTTGACGCGATCAATTCGAGCCCCCTCTTTCTGCTGCTGGGTGAGTTACGAATATGTAAGCGTCTGAAGTTAGTTCTACGGATATGTTAAGCAGAAATCGGTACGCAGACGCATCGAGAACGGCCACGAAAGCGCGGAGCGATTGCGGCTTGCGGCAAGTTGCACTCGCGCCACGCTTTCCGGATTGTCAGAAAAACTCAGGCTAGGTTAGCTATTTTGTTTTACTTTTGAGCTAGCGTTTTTATTGGATCTTGTTTATTTTTTATGGCTACGATAGATCACATCGTTGATTGAAATAAGTGCGAATAGACGCCGTGGGACGCGGCTAGCTGAAATGCCCGATCGGGCTTTGGCGTACTTTTCTCGCGCGATCGAAACGCCACTTCCGTACAAAACTTCACTTTGATGACATTGGATTACGCGAGAACCATAGATTTTGAACGTTCTCGTGTTTTTTGTACTTCAACTAAGCAGGGCAGCTTAAAGCTCTGGCATAGCCTCCAATATACTGACAAAGTCTGGCAGATTGCCACGGGAAGCGGCCGCCGAATTGGAAAAGATGGAGCGGCAGACAACGGGTGAGAGGAGAGCCACGTGACTGGCACCCCGCTGCGGCGAGACGCCGAAACGCAGCGTCTTGCCGCTGCTGCGAGACGCTACGGCGTGACGCGAGGACCCGAAAGTGTGTTTCGGGTCCTCGCCGCTGCAAAGACTGTGTGCTGACGTCCAGATTCCCCGAGAAATTGCTCTTTAATGCTCTGTGCTCCCAGATCCTCGCGCTCCAAATCTGCTACCGGTCACTCTATGGCTCCGTCGTCGAACTGCCAGGCTTTGTGAATATAGAGGAGGCTATGGCTCTGGGCATAACTTCACTATGGTGGTAGGTGTACCGAGCGCTGCGCATTCTTGGGTAGTTCCACGTACCGCCACTTCATGACGAAAAAGTGGCGCTGTAGCCAGGATACCGGCGCATTTCTGCTCGAAGGGGCGTGGCGTGAATCGTCACGGGGCACGAGAGCGTCTCGTACTCAGCGTGCTCATGCAGCACACACTTCTACGAGTGGTGCCATTGTGCGCCGCCCGATGGCACCAGGCGCAGGGTACCGGTGCCACCAGCGTCATGAACAAGTGGCGTGCTATCGATTTTATGTCCGGCACATCTCACTTCACAGCCAACGGTAGTTTCTTGTTTCCTTTTTTTCTTCTTGCGTTTAGTCATGCATTTGGGTCAAATGCTTGACGTCTTCCAATTCACTGGATAACAATACAGTAGAATTTTTTAAAAAAGTTATCATAATGAACGCTAGAGGTTCAGCTGGGCTTTTGCAACCAAAGTGCTGGATATCCTGATTTATCCAAGCACCGCCATCGTTTGATCGGGCCGCGAACGCTTCTATGGGATGCCGGCGACGCGTCGCCATTTTTGGCTCATGGCGCATCCCACATCTGGACGCGCAGTCTCTTATTAGTCTGCTGTGGCTGCCGGTGACGTGCCGCCGTTTGCGAGCACGCTCCCATTGGTCTACTGTAGATGCCGGCGTCACGCCGCCGCGACGAACTAGATTGGTGGCGACTCTCCGCTATCTTTGGTTTAAATACGTCCCAGCATGCACCACTTTGGCGGTACTTCTTTATAAACCCCAAATTCATCTAGTGCTTCAGTTACAAATAGACTTATCTCAATCATGCCTGATTGACATTGACGGTGGAACTGCGTTCGCGTTTCACGCGCATTTGGATAATGAAAACGAACAGATCCGCATAGCGGTTGCGATTCGAACACCAGTGTGAATGCAGCATAAGCGTTAAAGGCATGCGTCACGCCTCCATAACTGTATAGTTCATATGAGGCAGGCTCCAATGGGCGACACACTTCGTGCCCCCCCCCCCCCCCCCTCGTTCTCTATACGCGCACACCTTCAGCGGTGTTGTCGGGCGTGCAGAAAGACTACAGATCCCACGATGCATAGCGGCACCGGTGGCGTAATGAAACTGGCTGTGAGATCGGTCTATTGAAGCATAGAGCAACCAGTCGAAATTGACTTCCGGCAATGCATTTTTCCATGCGCTTGATTATTATAGTAAATATTACAAATAATTATAACGTAGTAAATAGTTCAGAACATTTCTCAATTACGCAAGTGAAAATATTGGTAAGCTGCAGCATTTTTCTGTCAAATTTATTTCATGAAACATATTCATAAAACAGCCTCATATATTCATTTATGTGCACCATCGGGCACTATTAGTGCGAGCATGGCGTCGGTGCTTTCTTCTACATAGATATGCGTACCAAGCGAACGAAAGTAATTTGGAAGATCAAGAGAGACGGCAAGAACTACGCAGGAACACTGGATCAGTAACTCCCTGCGCAGGTAGACCATCAGAATAAAGTGAAGATCAAGTTAATATGGTTCGATTTGCTATCATTAAGCATTGCATTATTTTCTCTCATCGTCCATGTACGAAGCATTAAAAAAATAACCGGCAAGCTCAAAATATTTAAAAATAGGAAGAAGCCAGAAAACTGGTGCCCGATAAAAGCTGCCCGGCGCAGGAAATAATAAAAAGAAACACCTTTCATAGCCTGGGGACTTTATATTTTACGCTTTGAATGTTTTTAACCGCTCGTAAAGATGCACGACATGGGTACATTTTTGCATATGTGACCGGAATTGTATATTAGCAATATATAAGCGTCACCAGAAGGGTGGCGAAACTTGAACGCTCTCTACACTCCTTTCCATTGTTATTTTTGTTATATTCGT